AAAAAGTATAAGGAATCTGCAAGCGACAAGACCGTGAGAACGGTAAAAGCAGTAAATGGTAAAAACGGTCTTGTCGCTTGCAGATTCCTTATACTTTTTCTTCTACCCTGAAGATGGAGGCGATACGTTCCTCCGAAACGTCGGTTAACACCACTTATACACGGTGCCAAATCCCAAAAGACTGCTTTCTTCAATAAGTTATTTCTTTGTAATTTAAATACAGAATGGGTCTATGAATTAAACTAGATCCTCTTTCCTGAAATAGTATTGCCTTGGTCTTGCCGTTATTACAAGATTATTTGTCAAGAACCAGTTTTCTAATTGTTTCATAACTTTTATGCTTTTCCATTTAAAAGATGTGAGATTTTTCTCAATGAGTAATATATATATATAGGGTGAGGATTTTCCAGTGTCAAGCTTCTAATATAAGATTTAAAAATATGTTTTATGTACTTTCTGTGTCAGAAATAAACATGAAGCTTATATAACAGGGTGTTTCACGACTTTAGGGCATAACTGCAGGATGTGATTTCCTAGGTCTTTGTGATCAAAAAAGTTCATATAAACATGTGACCGATTTTGGACGGTTATGGAGTTATGACAGTTTTTTCATTCCCGTACATGCCCTCGTGTGAACCGCGTCTATCATCTGGCGGGTCGCTATTTTTAGCCAGCTACAGACAGAGCGTTCTCGTCATCTTGGCACTTGAGAGGTACCTAAGGTGTGGTGGGTTGGTATGTCTGGCCACGGCTAGTGTGGCGGCTACTGGTGTTCAGAACAGTTCTCATATTGGTGCGTGTTACGTACACCACGATGCCATTTACATTTTCATTTGAGGATTATGCAGATATGATTTATGTGTATGGGTTTTTGTGACGGTAACTCAGTTCTTGCCGTAGCTGAATATCAGCAACGGTTACTGAATCGTAGAATACCGAACCGGAGAGTGTTTACTGGAGTTTACCAGGCATTGCGAGATGCCGGTAGACTTCCCGGCATTCGTATTGCAGCTGAGCGTGGTGTTAATGAAGGCGTCAATGAAGAAGGCATTGTTCATATGGTCCACTGCTGTCCACCTACAAGTACGCGAAGAATTGCCAGCCAAGTCTCCAGACTTAAGCCCAGTGGATTATTGTGTGTGGGGATGGATGAAAGAACTGGTTTACAGTGTGAAGGTGGCAACGCGAGATGCTTTGCTCGGTCACATTCTGGATGCCACTGACCACATAAGAAACAGCCAGCTGAAGCTGTTACATGCTACCCGCGCGGTTCGCAATCGAGCGGCAGCCTGTGTTGCAGCCGGCGGTGGCATTTTCCAAAATCAGCTTTAAGCACCAATCAATTCAAATTAAAGGTAATTTCACGAAGTTAACTTTACATTCATACTTTAAATGTATCATGTATTATGCTGGTTTATTATTTTGTTCGTTTATTGTCAGTAATCGTTACCTTCTATTCTCAGTTTTAAACGGTCATAACTCCGTAACCACCCAAAATTGGACACATGTTTATATGAACTTTTTTGATCACAAAGACCTAGGAAATCACCTCCTGCAGTTATGCCCTAAAATCATGAAACACCCTGTATAAGATCTCAGGTTTTTGCATTGGTCAAAACTTATGTTGTGGTCTTCTGGGTTAGGACACTTGTGTAATCAACTATGAACCTTGAAGATGGAAGTAGTATGTACTCATGAAATATCACTACCCGTATACCAGACTACATTGAGTCATAGCATGGAAGTCTGCAATATGAAATATGAATTAATTTTGGAGTTATAATTTTTCATGTGTAGAATCTGGTTTAACCTGCAAATTGTGTGTCCTGATTTTTATTATTTGTTTGTTCAGGCCAGAAACCATACCAGTGCCAAGTATGTAACAAGAACTTCTCACAGAATGGTAACCTCCAAGAGCATCTACGTATACATACTGGAGAGAAACCTTTCTGCTGTGATTACTGCGGCAGGAAGTTTACAACATCTTCACAAGTGAGCATAAGTGAACTGTAACTTTAGCATATTCAGTTTAGTATTAACTTCATCACAGACTTTATGCTTCTTATCCTGAGTAAGTGACAGGATCATCTGGGTTTGATCCCCTGTTCTCAACAGTAGGGATGTATCTCTTCACTGCCTTATCCAGACTGACATTAAGGCCTGCCCATCCTCATGACGAGTGGGTATGGGTGATGTTTGTCTGGGTGGGGGGAAGGGATCACAATACAAATCTGACAAACTGCATCAATCTGTTGCTGATATTATGAATGCATGAAGCTTTACCTCCAGCCCCCACATCATGACTTGTAATTGGGCAGAGGGACAACTTTGCATGCATGCGCGCGTGCGCGCACACACACAAAACATGTTCCACAAATGGTTTGCCACACTTTGGAAACCAATTTCTTTCTATTGTATCTTATGAAAGAGATCATCTGCAAGACCAAATTACAGAGGGAAGTGGAACTGGTGTTTCAATTAATGAGTGCTGCTTCTTACATATGAAAATACAACAAAATATAGTAACAGGCAGTAAATTGAGGAGGCACCCCATTATGCTGAAAGTACATCCGGCATCTTGTTGCCAGATGAACATCTCCAAGTAACTTTGGTAATTCTTCTTCTAAGAAGTGGAGGTAAATCTCACCAATTAAGCAGCCAGGAAAAATGAACGGCCCGATTAGCTGATCATACAGAAAACACCAGACATTGACACTGAATCGATGTTGAAAATTTGATTCTATCATGGCTCGGGGATTATTGTCTGTCCAAACATGAAAGTTGTGACTGTTGTTGACCCCGTCCCATGTAAGCTGTGCCTCATCGCAGAACTGTATCAAGTGGTACAACTGCCGATTTCCCTTTAATCAGTTGCAGAACTGCAGACGAAGAACACGGTCTCCTGGTTGTAGGTGTTGTACTTGCTGTAAATGATAAGGATGCAGACCATTCTCATGAAGAGCCCTCCAGGCTATGGACTAAGAAACAGAACCGCCGAGCTAGATGTCTTGTACTGGCACGCGGACTGCACTCTACAGCATCAAGAATGTTTTCTTCTTTGCACAATACATGTTTAGGATTTCGTTCGTATTGTATACGAATGCTGGGGAGAGAACCAGTTTGTCTTAATGTGTTGTATGTACTGCTAATGGATTTAGGATTCGGAATCCTGTGATTAGGATAACGCCGGTGATATTCGGCAGCATCAGCTTTCACATTTCCATCACATACACCCAAAACAAACACCATATCGGCATATTCCTCAGTGGAAAATGTGTATGGCATCTTACCTTCACAAAATCACCAACACAACGTCCTGTTTACTACTGGATTGGTCTGCCTACCTACATGCAACATTCCAGCTGGTCTGCCTTATCTGCTGACGCAGCTCACTGGAACCATGGTCAGCCAGGCGGGAAGCATAGCACTGCATGTACAATGATGTGTTTCGAAAATCTATTGTTACTCCGAAACTATTGAAAATCGACCACAAGTTTATAAGGAAATTTTGCAGGAAATAACCTCAGGAATATGTACCATAAGCCGGGGTAAAACTTCCTGAATCATCCTGTATATACTGATGAATTCATCTGATTAGTGCTCTTATTTATTTTCTCCTGTGTACATTTGAAACATCTATAGCTCCTTAGTGATTTTGAATAGAACCAATGATGTATCAATATTTATTGCGTAACCTCCCATATCACCTTCTGAAGTATAGTAGATCAACTGTTAAACACCTTGTGTGCAGCCTGTGTATGCTTGCATATTTAGTTCTACCAATTGGATGGCACTCTTGTATATATTTGGAAATAGCCAGGGTTTAAATTATGGCCCAGAGACCAGCTATTCTCATTTTATTTTTTGTGGCTTTCCTCAGTCCCTCATGGCAATTACTGGATTAAGCCTCAACTGCTTCCTTACATATCCTTTCCAGTTACTTAATCATAAAGTCATTCAACATTGTCATAAAATAAAGCATGGAATAAATAAAAATACAATGATGGTTCTTGTATCAAATTTTTGGGAACGAGTATAATATTTTCAGAGCTAGGTAATCAAAATCTCAACCTAGAATGTTTGGGCATTCCATTGGTAAGAATTAATAATGAATTCTGTATCAATGACAGACTGGCATATGGACCCATCATTTTATCCTACGAAGCAATAAGCTAGATGTTTCCCTTACATTTGTTACAAAACAGAATGAGGCGTCCATAAGCGTATATCTTCTGTGATTTATGTAATTTTAATTTTTTTATGTTTTCCGTAATAATGATCTTAGCAACTTGAATTTAATAGTGTCAGGTGATGAGATGACTTATGAACAAAGAATTGGAAAGGATACTGATTGACGCGGTTGTCGTCTGATTTGAGGTTCCATCCCAACATATGCTTGGAAGGAGTGAGGAAAACCATGGACATCACAGAATTACCAGTCTCCAGATCAGGATTTCAACCTGGACTACTGGCCACATAAACACAACTTTTAAGCCTCTGGATTGATATTTTAACATTTTGTTTAAGGATCATTTAGAGCATATTCTTCCAGCTGGTTGATTCTAGTTTTACCTGATAAATGTTTTTATTGGTGAAATGTGTAATTCTGACATTATTTCTTGATTTCCTCTTTTGATAGAACTGTATGACCTGTTGTTGATCTGTTGAACTACATTTTATCTAATACTACTCTTCCTTCATCAGTTTATGGTCCATTTGCACATTGTCTCCAAAGTTTATCTCTGTGTTGATTATGTGTGTAGAATCTTTCATTTCTTCTGATATGTATAAAAAAGATAACTTGTCGGGTTCTTTTTTCGTTCCATGGACCTAGTGGAGAACCCTCAACGATTTGAAATTTTCTTCATACTTTTACCTATATGTATGAAAACTTGACGCTGATCATTCTGAGCCCNTGTTTATGTTGAAAATTTCTAGATTCTGGCAGAAACAAGAAGTCCGGAGTTATGACATTTACGATCAGTCATAAATTTAGCTCGGGTACAGGGAACCGGACGCGCCTAAAAGAACAGGTCAGAGCTTGTTACAATTGCCTGTGAATGAGGGCCAGTATGATTGGGTTGCCTCCTTCAAGCTTCCCACGGAAGATGGGATGAAATGTATATGTCAACACCATCTTTCGAATTCCCGGCGTGGGGGTGCAAGCCATTCCACAAAAAGGAGACTTTCACAATATTCCAAACTGAACGGACGTGACCTTTGCACGCTCAGAGACATAGCTTGCCGATAGTAATGCGGTAACGTAAAAGCTAAGAATACATTAATTTAACAGTGTGGTGAATTAGCAGGTGAATAAACGTCAATTGGCTCAACTCTCAGAAAAACGCTTTCTTCGGCATCGCTACCCTGAGACTCATGCGAACCGACCCAGCTAGTTTCCCGTACCTATACCGATTTTCCTTAGTTTGATCTGTGAGAACAACTTGCAGTGGCCATCATACACTGTTCTAAGGTAGAAACAGGTGTAGCAGGGATAGCACCATTCCGACCGCTGATACAAAGGCAGGTTGGAAAAGAGCGGTGTTAAACTGTGGCTGTTAAAGTGATATGTAAATACTATGATGAAGTTGATGAATGGAATTTGAATCCCCATAATCCAGTATTTCTTTCAATTACATGATTAAACTTTAATTTCTCAATTTGAACATTTTTCCTTCATTAAACTAGCTGCAATATAGTGTGATATTGACAAGGAAAGAATGGGTATCCCTGCTTGTATAATAATTTTTTAAATTTTAATGGACTCTGCAGCGCGGTGTGCATTTGAATGTTGATGGAATGTATAACTCTAATTTTTTTTGTGTGTCAGTTCAAGCTACATGTGAAGAGACATACTGGAGAACGACCGTGGAAATGTGAGTTCTGTGGAAAGTCTTTCTTGCATAAAGACACATGGAAGTGTCATACTAGAAGACATAAAGGAGAGCGTCCATTCCAGTGTCATTTCTGTGCACGAGGATTCACAGAACAATGGGCACTCAAAAAACATCTGCGCCTACATACAGGCGAGAAACCATACTCCTGTAATATGTGTGGGAAAGCTTTTGCTGATTGTTCAAACCTCACCAAGCATAAAAAGGCAAGTTTTTATTTGTAACATAATTCAGTTCAGTATGTTTGTTAATCTTTGAAAAACTGTTGTTTATGCCTTAAAGAATTCATTCACATGGCTGAGTAGTGATTTTCATGGGATATTTACATACACTTGTAATCACAGTAAATTAACTTGCTTGTATGCTGCTTTATGTATGTTTTAGGTTCATCGTGAAAACAAGGACGGTATTGTCGGAGCAGCTGGAGGTATTTCTGTAGATCGAACAGTTTGGAATATTATTCGCTCACATCTGTCAAAGGAAGTGTCAAACGATGGCAATGCGGAAGGTGAAGCGAGGACAGGAGAGGAAGGTGATGGTGTCCAGCAGATTATTTATGTAACATATCAAGATCCAGATGACCCCAGTGAAGCCAGAACTCTTCATATTGTAGATGACATGCAGGCTGATAGTGATGCAGCGGTGAGTGGGTTATATATATAAAAGAGAAATTTTGGCATTAGGTATTTTTATTATACATTGTATGATACACCTTAAGAGATCATAAAGTGCATAAACATACGTCATTGTACAACTGCTTTAACCTTTATCGGACGGGCCATTTAATTTCCGGTAGGGACAGCTGGACGGAGTTTATTTAAATGCCCGCCCTTCTAGAGCGATGAAATTGTAAGCATGTTTCTGAAAATGTTGTAATTTCTACATTTTTTATGATAAATGAACGAAATGAACGCTCCTTTAATGTAGAAAGAATATAGAATCAGATATTCTAATTTACAGATTTTAATATCTGTAAAAAAAATGTTACACTCGTTCCAAAAAAAAAAAATCCCGAAATTCATACATTTTCTGCACCATGCGTTCTAGCAGTGTAATACATTTTCTGCGCCATGCGTTTTAGCAGTGTAAAAGTCCTTGTCGCCACCTCATACAATACTATCGCTTGTTGAAGCTTATTTATCGTATGGTACATGACGGTATGCAGAGACTGTGGGCGTCTGATATTCGTTCGCTGTGAGAAATACACATGATTACATTCTCAGAATATGGTGTTGCCAGATCGGTCATTCGTTCATTCATTGCAGTCAAACCATTGTGTTTGTAACGATTTTGAAACATCGCAATATGAGGTCAGCCACCCATGACATCATGAACCATTTTTGAAGGAGATATTCAGTTCAGCTAAGACGTGAATGAGATATTTGTATGTGTGGGTGCGATTTATGGCTTCTGGTCGTGGTCTAAGCACTGTGCTGGCAGTAAACCATTCACTGCTAGAGAGCCGTATAATTCACCATGGCCACACAACGACGTCGTATGGAAGATATTGAAATTGAAAAACAGCTGTTCAATGACACAGATTCGGACTGCTATTCAACCGATTCGGACAGTGGCGAAGAAAGTTGGAATTCTGATTCCGCGGAAGAAGGGTCATCACCTTCGTCGGCAACTTGGGGACCGCCAGACCAGTGTGGCTGGAGAGGTGTGAATAATTATTCCGGTGTAGCTGTGGGGATAAATATCACTGCAGCTCCACACGTGAATAAGGATTCCACCCCTCTCTGCGTTTTCATGCTGTACTTTGCGGGGATTATCCATCTGCTGGTGGAAGAGACGAATAGGTACTATCACCAGTACCTAGATAGACTTGAAGACGGACCATCTCCGCGGCCTGACGTAACTGAATCCGAGATGTTTCTGTTTCTAGGAATAATCATTCAAATGGGACATGACATTAGAGACACACTAAAGGACTACTGGTCGACTGCTGAACAATTTGTCATACCTTTCTACTCTAACACAATGAAATGCAACCGTTTTCTTCACATTCTTCGTTTTCTACATTTTGCAGACAACAGTACAGAAACTGACAGAAATGCCGACAGTTATGACCGACTATGGAAAATTCGGACCATCTTCGACACTCTCAATGACGCATATCAAAAATATTATAACCCTTCCGAACATTTGGCCATAGACGAAATAATAGTTAAATTCAAGGGAAGGGTGGTTTTTAGACAGTACATCCCTAAGAAGCACAAACGTTTCGGAATCAAAATCTTCAAAATTTGTGACGCCGCTGGGTATACCTATGACATGAAAGTTTACTTAGGAAAAGACAGGAAACGTGCCAGCCAAGACGTGACAGCGACACATGCTACAGTTAGGGACCTATGCAGGCGTATTGAGGGCGTAGGTCACAAACTGTACATGGACAATTTCTTTTCGTCACCAGACTTGTTCGACGACCTGATGACAAAGGACATAACGTGCTGTGGGACAGTCAGACCTAATCGGAAGGGCTTGCCTGACGATTTTCGACGAAGACAATTTCGACTGAAGAAAGGTGACATTCGTGTTAGGGTGAGACGGAACTTGACAGCACTAGTTTGGAAGGACAAACGTGACGTACACATACTGACAAACATGCACTGTCCTCCAGCAGAAGGCAGTTTCTGTGATGAGCACGGAAATGCCATCAAACCATCAGTTGTTGTGGATTATAACACGCACATGGGTTATGTCGACAAAGCGGACAGAATGACAAACAGTTACAGCATCAGTCGTCGGACCTGGAAATGGACAAATAAACTATTTTTCCATCTCCTGGATCTGACAATTCTGAACAGCTTCATCTTGTTGTCATCCTGTGGCGCGAAATTGTCACATCGAGACTTTCGTCTCGCCCTTGTGTGCAACATGGTGGAAGAAGCTGGAAGGGGTTCACCTCGCCCTCAAAGGTCCATTGGTCGACCTCCTGCTGTGTCATCATTAGTAAAACGATTAGAGGAAGCCCGTCGACATCACTGGCCTGCTTCCTCTAAATCGCAACTGAGATGTCGTGTGTGTTCTTCGCGTGGGAAGCGGTCTAGCGTTCGTACGAAGTGCGTGAGGTGCGATGTTGGACTCTGCATTTCGGAATGTTTTCGGCAGTACCATACGAAGACCACATTACCATAGATGACACAGGAATCGCGTGCAATGCGCGAAATCATATGAGGTCGTTGGGCCATATGACGTCGGTAGATTACATTAGATCACGCAGGAGGGAAAGCTGTCACCTTATAAAGGTTGTGACCAAAAATCATGTAAATAGAACAACAATTTATATCTTAAATTTAATTTTAAAAAAATCTTTACACGCATGGAATGCACGATATCATATGATGTCGTTCGGGAATTTCGCCTTACTTTTAACGTCATATGACGTCGCTAGATTACTTTAGATCATGCAGGAAGGAAGGCTGTCTCCTTATAAAGGTGGTGACCAAAAATCATGTAAATAGAAAAACAATTTATATTTTTAATATAATATTAAAAAAAACCTTACACGCGTGGAATCCGCGACATCATATGATGACGTTCGGCCAGCTGCCCTAACTTTTAACGACATCATATGATGACGTTCGTCCGATAAAGGTTAACACTGCAAACTGGAGTGTACCAGCTGAATCTTCCCGCTCACACCCACAATTTAACAAATATCATTTATAATGCCCTCATACAGACCGGACAACCTGAGCAGCAGAACGGAATACCTTTGCCTGAGGAAACGGAGTCTGTGACTTCAGTAGGAGGGATTATAACAGCTCCAGAACCTGTTGATACAAATGGAATTGAATTGAGTCATCTGTCACAGTCAACAGCCATGCAGCTGTCTGGGTCCCATTCACTGCATGTAACAGATGAAGATGGTAATCCTATCCAATTTACTATGCAGGATGGACGGCAATTGCAGGTAACAAACACAACCTTGTACTGAAGAAAGCAGTCTTCTGGGATTTGGCACCGTGTATATGTGGTGTTAACCGACGTTTTGGAGGAACATCAGTTAACACCACATATGCATGGTGACAAATCCCAGAAGACTGCTTTCTTCATAGTCACCGCCGTGAAAGCCTCAAATCTTACACAACCTTATGCTGCTTGGAAAGTAATCCTCTCTGGATCATTTGACACACAGACCTGCACGTTAATATTATGTTTTATGGTCTTTCCAAGTTTTCCATGTAAATTGTTGGTAATTTTACAACATTATGAACATTCAACTCCAATTTGTGTTAACACATTGCGGACCGGTTGTTTAAATATTTAAATCACCCTGGGGACCGCGGTTTTTAAGCCTAGCACCCTAAGTTGTGCACTGTTCACTTTAAAAATTAATGTAAAATCTCCTAATCAATTTTATGAGCTAAAATTTTTGGAGAACACTTACCAGAGCTCCTAGAAGTGCTTGCGCATGTGATATCTCTGGAAACATTCCCCTTTGTGAAGAGGCATCACGCAGGAGTTGCAGATGTACGCAGTCCTACTCTTCTTCTTGTGGACTGCGCGCACACGGCACTGCCTAGAAGGCTACTTCTTCTTGCAATGTTCACTTTTCATAATTCTCACAAGGGTATGTTTCCGCATATCACCTGAGAGTCGTCCAGGGGGGTCCACATAGGGCCTCCGGCAGGTGCGAACAGATGGCCCCGGCTGCACTACGTATGTGTCTGACTCAGGTACTGCCGCCACCGTGAGGTCAGTAGCCCAAGCTTTTGGGTCCAGTGGCATCCACTTCACCCCCAGATCACCAGTAAACCTACACAAACTGGGGGTTTTGTCCACTTTACCCCATGTGGCTGTCCTGGTACTCGCACTTTCATCGGAGCTCTCACTTTCACTGGACACAATATTTTGGGGGGCCCTGTGGCCCCTGTCACTGTCACTTTCACTGAGGCTGGCCTCGCTATCAGAAGACGAAGCAGTTGGCAAATCTGATAGCTCATCGGAGAACAAATCTAATATTTCTTGTTCTCCGAGAGAACGCTTCGCCTGCAACTGCTTTCGTCTCTGATCCATGTTGCACTGCTAACTTCCTGGTTCATACGTGGAAGCTTGGACTCGAACAAAGGCTTTTTTCTTTAGGGTGTGACAGGAAATGAGCGTGATCATGTTACTGGCTAAGCTAGCAAACATTCCCGAGGTCAACTACGCAGTAGTTATGATGCAACATGGCCACACAGCGAGATATAGTCGGTTGCAACATAACGCGTCAGAAAAGGGCCAATTGGCCCACCCGGTCCGCAACGCTATAGAAACATAGTGGGCCAATTGGCCCCTCCAGTCCTGAATGTGTTAAATGTGACATTGATATACTATAACCTGAAATTCAGGCTTTATGCATACTGAGGAGAGTATTTACATTACAGTCTTCTGGGATTTGATGCTGTGTAGTTTCACATATACAGGGTGTCCCAGGAGGAATGGACCAAACTTCGGGAGGGTGTTCCTTATGTTAAAGTATGCCGATATAACCCAAAACACCTATGTCCAAAGTTGAACGGTTACGGAGATAATGGCCAGAGAAGTGTCAGACTTTGACCGGTGTTACACACTTGTTGATTACAAAATACATATTAAAACTGGCAGGAATATGTGGATTCTGTAATGTTAATAATGTACGTAACATCAAACTAACTTGTGAGTGACATGAAGTCATAAAATTGAAGTACAAAATACTCGCTCACCATGTCATAATTGTCCTTAGGGTTTCCAAGCACTATACATGACACATGACTGGCGAGCGATGACGTAATATGGCTGCGCTATAACCCGACCATATAACTGTATTTATTATACGTACATTCACAGATAATCTCTTTTGGAATTTCGTTTCCATTATCTCATGTGGATTATTATGGGACCACGTATGCACATTTCGTAAATTATTTACACCGTCCAGGGTAAAAGACGCCTCATCACTACACATGACACATGAATGGCAAGCGCTGGTGTAACATGACTGACTGCATATTCTGCTATAAGCCAACTACATAAGTATTAAAATACAGTACCTGCTTTATAGTAATTGTTCAAAGTGTCCTCCGCCAGCTGCAATGCAGTTTTCGGCACGCATCATGAGGGATTGGGTAGCAGAAGCAATGTTGCCTGAATGGTGACGTATGTGCTCTGCCGCTGCAAAAATACGATTCCGCAGTGCTTCTCGGGAATCGACCTTAGTTTCGTAGACTAAGGTCTTCATGTGGCCCCAGAGGTAATAATCTAGAGGCGTAAGATCTGGCGACCTCGGTGGCCATGCAATGGGACCACCACGACCTATCCAGCGGTTAGGGAAGGATTCATCTAAGTAGTGTCTCACGTGCTGAGTATAATGTGGAGGAGCCCCATCATGTTGGAAGTACATTTTCCTCCTTATCGTTAACGGGATGTCTTCCAACAAACATGGTAACTCATTCCTTAGGAAGGCTCCATACGTGTTTCCAGTTAAATTGTTGTGAAACACAAAAGGTCCGATCAACCTGTTCCCAAGCACACCACACCATACATTCACAGAAAATCTCTTTTGGAATTTCGTTTCCATTATCTCATGTGGATTATTATGGGACCACGTATGAATATTTCGTAAATTATTTACACATCCCGGGTAAACGACGCCTCGTCACTGAATAAAATGACACTTAACAGTTCGGGATGAGCTTTTATCCAGTGGCAGAAATCCATACGCTGAGCATGGTCGCCTGGTTCCAGATGTTGTACCCTTTGATCATGGTAAGGATACAGGTCTTCATCATGTAAAGTTCACCACACCTGCATACGTGATACACCGATGCGAGAGGCCATTCTACGAGTGGACAGACGCGGACTTCTATCAATCATGCCAAGAATGTTCTCTCGTGTGTTTCTCATTTGTACATCCTCCCTTCCCGACTGCACAGAAACACTCGGAAGAGAACCAGTCTCACGCAATGTCTGGTGAATTCGTGTAAATACACGTCGAGATGGAATCCTTCGATCGGGAAAACGCCTTTGGTACTCTTCAACAGCAGCACGTGCATTGCCACTGCAAAATCCATACACAAAATGCATATCACAATATTCAACGTGTGAAAACACAAAAGGCATTTCAGCAACTCACACAACTAATTTACCACCCATTCACAACCCCGCCGTAACGTAATCTGTAGGCTCTGTAGGAGCTTACGGTTGTGTGACTCACAGCACTCAAGGACAAACAGATATGGGTCTCAGCTGAGAGCTATAATGCGTGGACCTGCCAGAAGACCACACTTTTCTCGTGCCATTATCTCCGTAACCGTTCAACTTTGGACATAGGTGTTTTGGGTTATATCGGCATACTTTAACACAAGGAACACCCTCCTGAAGTTTGGTCCATTCCTCCTGGGACACCCTGTATGTACTGGTGTTTTGGAGGTACATCCTGAAGATGTATGTATTAGTATTGATTAAAACCTACTTAATTTGTTGCATTACTGAATTACAGATTACAACAGCAGATGGGCAGTCTATTCAAGTGATGACTACGGTGGATGGTCAGACAATACCATTACAATTAATGACCCATGATAGTCAGCACATTACCCCAGAAATGGAAAATCAGTTACAACATGTTGGAGTTGAAAACTCAGAAGGCATGGCCAGTGCCATAACTGTAAGTTAACTTATCATTAACTGAACAGAAAATATTAAACACATGAAGCCTGAAAAATTAATATTGAAATCTAATGCGGAAACACCATTGCAGTGCAAGGGCCGAGGAGGCCTACCCCTCATACATTCATTAAATTGCTGTTGCATGTGTGTAGCTTACAGTTTGTACCTTTGGACTGCGCTGAAGGTGCTTAAACATTCTTCATAAATGTTTTATTTTGGTCATTAAAAATTGAGTGTGCTGGAACATAGAATAAAATGACAAGCTCCATAGTTCTCAGAGTATTAGTAACAGAAATGAAGAACATGGTTTGTAAAATATTAAGCAAAGACCAGTCGGTGAAATATCGGTAACAGAAAAAAATGGAAGTCATTACTTGATTGTGATAAGCAATTTATATTCATGGACATAGTGCAAAAGTTGAATGAAGAGACATCACTACAAGTAATTATATGTGAAGATACCTGTTGTATTGGATGTCATGCCATGTAGTTTGGTAGATAGGTATCAGTGTATCAGGTCATGAAGATGGAAGCAGTAGGTCCCTTCAAAACATCCTTAAGTATGTGGTGTGATACCAGAAGGCTTATACTTCAATGATGACTGCTGTCATAACCTCATATCTCAGATATTCATGTATGACTTATTAATTTCACTAAAGTGAAGGTAAGATTTTTTTATATCATTATATTCATTCAGTACAAGCCTAAAGCTAAATATTTATTGTTCCCCTATTATGATTTAAGATCTGGAACTTGTTCATTTTCCAGTTTGCAAAAGCATCATGAGCTGAATCCCAAATGGTTCTGCTTTCATATCGCTTTAAATTGTGAAGTACAGTAAACTTCTGGTTACCTGGAATTCTTTTCCAACTAGCATGACTTTCAAAGATAATTTTCCATTTTATAAATTTTCTTCAAAAACATAAGTATAAAATGTGTATGTCCACTGACCATGTGGTTATTCTCCCAGCTGCCAGTGGCAATGCTGCCCATAATCCACCCTCATGCAGTTGCCATTATAGTTGTAGTAATGCGTGATTACAGTCAGGGTAGTTTAATTTGTGATTGCATTTCATTATATGCAGTATCTTTCACTGATCCTTGTGCTTTGTTTGCCAAGAAGACAGGAAGTAAAGTTGAAGCATGTTGTTTTGACTTTGAAACACAAAAATGGGAATATTAGAAGACTGGGAAAGGGTGAAAATCACATGATAATTGGGTTCTGTAAGAGTTTTCCTCATGCAGCTGACAGGTGTATGTAACCAACATCCCATTCCCCAACATGCCAGATAACGGAGTTTACTGCACAACCTGGAGTTTTCTCGAAGTTGCTCAAGAGAATAAGCACATGTTTTGACAGTGATGGACCTCATAGTAGGCCTGTAGGTCTGCTGGTTGAAATGTTTATGTATTAGTGCACAAGCCCCAGTTTGAGGTGTGATTATTCTTCGGAATTAGTGGAATACAAAATTGAATAGTTTCATAACTTGTAATTGGAATTATCAAGTCAAGAAGGGTGAGATGGATAGGGCATGTAGCAGGCATGGGTGAGAAGAGATTGCATATAGGATTTTGGTGGGAAAGCCAGAAGGTAAGAGACCACTAGGAAGACGTAGTTGGGAAGATAAAACTAAATTGGATGTTGGAGAGAGAGGAAAAAGTGGCATGGACTGGATTGATCTGGCTGAGGATAGGGAGCAATGGAGGGCCCTTGTGAACATGGTAATGAACTCTCAGGTTCCATAAAATGTTTGGAAATTGTTGAGTAGCCAAGTGGACTGGCTGCTTCTCAAGAAGGATTCAACTCTGTCGAGTTAGTCAGTAAATAAGCCTCCTTGAGGATCATTGTGAAATGTATGTATTCTGAATGGCTCTTGGTAGGGGAGCTATTCTGACACGAACCAGGAAAATAAAGAAGCCCAGTGTAAAACTGCTGTGCCAGTAGATCATGACATAGCAGCAAATAAAGTTAAAAGGTTTAACTTGTCACATTTTGGTCCGTCACGCTATTAATTACAGAGTAGATAATGAAAAGTTCAGTCCAATGTGACATACGAGTTTACAGCACTTCAGTCCTCATTCACCTTACATGTTTCGATTCAAAAGAATCATCTTCAGAGGCGCACCACTACGATAAGGAAACACTGTCACATAAGATATTTTAACAATATGCACTTTAGGTATGACTAATGCTCTCCATATAAATTTTGTTATCATGGTTGGTTTTGATGTTTGTCTTAGGCACTCACAATGGCGCTTCTTGAAGTGTAGATTTACTGGTTATTCTGACTGGGGTTTTCCACTGCACGCAATATTGTGTTCAATTTTCCATACAGTAGACTCCCAGTATATTTAAAATTGTATTAAAATTTCCATATAAAAAATTAGTTATTATATTAAAATATCTTGAGCCGACATTGGGTCATGTTGTTTTCCTCCTGATGGTGGTAGATGTCGTTTATTTCTCTTGATTTTATGTTCTTATTATTAGTAGTGTAGTTCACGTGCGTTCTGTGTCATTTGTCTTGTGTGACAGTGTTTCCTTATCATAGTGGTGCGCCTCTGAAGATGATTCTTTTGAATCAAAACATGTAAGGTGAATTAGGACTGAAGTGTTGTAATCTCGTACGTCACAATGGACTGAACTTTTCATTATCTACTCTGTAAAGTTAAAAGGATTTGTTTATGTAATGCGACCGTGTCTGTGGTGTAGTGGTCAGAGTTCCTGGCTACAGATTCAGAGGTCCAGGTTCAATTCCCGGCGCTACCAGATTTTTTATGATAAGTAGTGGGTCTGGAACGGGGTCCACTCAGCCTCGTGATGATAACTGAGGAGCTATTTCAAGGAAATAGCGGCTCGAGTCCAGAAAACCGACATTAATGGCCGTGGGGATTCGTTGCGCTGACGACACGACACCCTCTATCCGCTAAAGTTGGCACTAACTTCGCCAACAAGTGGCAGTCACTCAGTCGGTATAATTCACTTGCGGACTAAAAACCACAGAGTTTGTTTGTTTTTGTATATGTAATGCAATGGATGCAAAAGAAGGGAATGTTCATAATGGTGTGAGAATACAAAGCGGTGAATGCAAGAAAGGTGGGATTAGTGAAGAGAGTGAAGCTGAAAAAGACAGTAGGAATGCTGGACAGATGAGATTGCTGAACCGAATAAAATCTGTGACTTTGAAGAAGGAAGCTAACTCCATGAGTGTCATATATAACATGTTTTCAAATATTTCTTCTCTTCGACATGTTTGAGTGCTATGAGCCATACATCATCTATTCTGGCAAATGCAGTAGCATTCTGTAGTGTGTTATAAGGTGACTAGTATTGTAAATTGTAATTTTGCTGAAAAAAATGGTCTACTAGTGATAATTCCTGTTGTCTCAGTTCTCAGAATATTTCCAAATTCTCATCTCAAGATTGAAAAAGTCATTCTTGCATTTGTCTCTTAGATAGTAAGTAAACTGTAAGTAATAATTTATATTGTCATGTATTGGGGTTTGCGTGATGAATAACAATGGGTTCTGGATTTGATGATTGGATTTATTGACATTTCTTTACAGTTACAGTCAGTTATAACAGCTCACACATTGAACTCTTCTGAATTCTCTTGTGGATGAATTACGACTCCTGTCTGACGAATACTCTGAAGAATCTCTTGAATTCACAAACAAACTACATTTTATAACAGAGAGGACCAAACAGAAGTCACTGCCTCCAAAGTTTCCATGACTGCTCTTCATGAATGTGTTGTTTCAGAAATGTGCATGAATCGTTACCGAGCAAAATGGGTAATTCCATGTCTGGCTTCACTATTCTGGCTTTTAGGCGGTGTTTACCATTTATAATTTTCATTTCATGCATCCTGCTGTGTTACAATATATACAACTTATTTATTTGACCGTCACAACACAACAATAAAAGAACTTCAAGGACAATGCCCAGATATAGTTCTGCTACATGTTTCGGCGACTAGTGGCCATCATCAGGCAAACACACTTCAACAAACGTACACCACTGAACTGCAGTACGCAAAATTTGATACAATGTCATAAATCATTTAAGATAATTTGCAATAAGAATACAATAAGTAGGTTATTTAAAACCAATAAAAGTCATATATAAAAAATAAAATTAAAATTTGATTGATGTTTTTTAACATCGAATTAGTCGTTGGTTCCACTTTACATACGTATCCGTCGACAGATAGTAAATTTCAATGTTTCATTATAAAATTGTGTAGGAGGCCCAATAGTTAATCTGAAAAAAATATAATAAAAATAGTATTAGGTTTGTTAAATTAATATTGGTTTTAATATTGAGAATGTAGTATATAGTACGTATATTACTTACGGAATAGTTGGAGCCTCATCATACGGAGAAGTGTACGTTGTGTATGGGAGGTAAACAACGACTGATTTGGTGGTGTAGGGTATAGTCAAGGTAAGGGAGGGCGGGAGAAGGTAGGAATGCGGAAGAGATGTTGGGGGGGGGGGGGAGAGGGGGTAAAATAAAAATATTATTGCTAAGAATCAAAATGTGTCACATGAAACAAAAATTGAAATCAGTAATTTGTTAAAGATAATAATGGAACAAAATTATTTTGAACATAATGGTAAATGGTTCAAACAAAACGAAGTTCTTATTATGGGAGCACCAACTTCAGCGATTCTTGCCGAAGTATTTATACAATACCTGGAACCTACAACTATCATTGATATATTGTCAAAATACCAAATAATCGATTATTTCAGATATGTCGACGATATTCTAATCATGTATAATTCTCATATATCTGATAATGATGATATGTTGTATGAATTCAGTAATATCCACACTAATATAAAATTCACAATTGAAAAAGAAACAAATAACAAGATCAATTTCTTAGATTTATCTATTGAAAAAACACACAAAACCTACAACTTGGAATCTACCGGAAATCTACCTCTACTGACCTCATTATTCACAATGACTCTTGTCATCCTTTCGAACAGAAAAAAACTGCTTTAAATTTTCTCTTAAATCAATTGAATCAATATCCTCTTTCACAAAATAATAAAAACTTAGAAGAAAATATTATCAGAACCATTTAAACAATAATAACTACCCACAAAATACTTTACAGCTACCAAAACCCTCAACAAAAATACTGCGTGAAAAATAAATGGTCCACCTTCACCTTCTTCGGCCATGAAATTAGATGTATTACCAAACTTTTCAAGAATACTGAGGTTGGTATCTCATTTAAGACTAAAAACAATATAAAACATCTGCTGAAAATTAATGATAACAAAAAAGATATTTATGATCTTAGTGGAGTGTATAAACTACAGTGTTCCGACTGTCCTTTAAAATATACATGACAAACGGGACGAACTTTTAATGTCAGATTTAAAGAACACATACGTGATATAAAGAATAACGGACAAAGTTCCAAATTTGCCCAACACACATTAGACACCATGCATGAGTACAGTACGATAGACAATACATTAGAAGTTTTATGTATCGGCAAGAAAGGCCAACTTTAGACACATATGGAAGATTTTACATTTGTGAAATTAGCAAGCAATGTTTACAACTTAATGATAATTTTACAGAAATATTTAACCCCATTTACGATTTAGTAATTGATATACACAAAACATAATATACAGCTATAACCTCTTCCTGGCCCCACCCCCCAACATCTCTTCCACATTCTAACCTTTCCCCTCCCTCCCTTACCTTGACTATACCCTACACCACCAAATCAGTCGTTGTTTACCTCCCATACACTACGTACAATTCTCCGTATGATGAGGCTCCAACTATTCCGTAAGTAATATACATACTACGAGTATATACTACATTTTCAATATTAAAACCAATATTAATTTAACAAACCTAATACTATTTTTATTATATTTTTTCAGATTAATTATTGGGCCTCATGTACAATTTTTTAATGAAACACTGAAATTTACNTACTTCGTATATAAGCAGCACCTTCCACATCCTATCACCACAGCTACTGCTCTCCGCAGCTATTCAACTGCTCTGAAGATGGAGGCGCTACGTTCCTCCGAAACGTCGGCCAAAACGAAGAATACACGGTGCCTAAACCCAGAAGACAACTTTCTTCAAATTTAATTTTGTTTTTTATATATGACTTTTATTGGTTTTAAATAACCTACTTATTGTATTCTTATTGCAAATTATCTTAAATGATTTATGACATTGTATCAAATTTTGCTTACTGCAGTTCAGTGGTGTACGTTTGTTGAAGTGTGTTTGCCTGATGATGGCCACTAGTGGCCAAAACATGTAGCAGAACTATATCTGGGCATTGTCCTTGAAGTTCTTTTATTGTTGTGTTGTGACGGTCAAATAAATAAGTTGTATAGGTGTTTACCATGCTGTTGCCTAGCAAATGGTCATATCCATCACAGTATCTTATGGGTAGATGAAGCCTTGTAGTAGGATTTTACTCCACTACAAGTAGTGCTCATTCTGTTTGTAGGTTGTATAATTGTGTTTGATATTGTGTCAATTTTTATTTTGGATTCTTAATTTTTAGACTGGAAGCCAGGGTGGAGAGGAGGATGTTTCACATCTGGTGGAAGAGGAGCAGGCTATAGAATTTATGACACAAGATGGCCGGAAAGTGAGACTTGTAACATCATATGAAGTTGACCCACTTCATTTGAACACTGACTATCTTGCCACAACGTAGTCACATTAAATGAGTCAATGTGAATGAACACTACAATATGAGAACAGTATTATTTCACGAGTTTTATCTGTGATTGATTTATTGTATTAAAAAAATGGCATTAAGAATATGAATTATTGCCACTTGCTTCCATTTTCAAGAATATTCCAAGCATTTGAATTCCTACTTTTCAGTTGAAGGGAGTTTCAAGTATAAAGTATAAAGAGTTCATGATACTCTGAACTGTTTAAAGTGAAACATGAAGTTCTTTTTTGTTATTTTGTATGTAATATAATTATATTGTTCCATAATTCTTGATTTCTAAATTTTGAATTTCAGTCCATTTCTTATGTTAGACTATGATACACATGTTACAGTGTTGATGTCAGGGGTGGTGTGATTAATGAAGAGTAAGTACAGATAACATGGAACAAAAGTTGTTAGATGAATTTTGGGCAGGGATTGTTTTGAATTTGATAATTCAAAGTTAACAGAAATAGGTTTTGATCATTATGTGACTGGAATGGCTGATTATTTTCAGAGTTCTGTAGTAAGAAGAATAGCAGTAGAGTGTCATATTGCCTATTTTGGACAATCCATTTGTAAACAATAGACAGTTTGTCATACAATGGACACATAACTTATATCTTGTAAGTTTAGATATTTCTTATGAAGTCTTGTGATAAAGTAGAAAGTTGCAAAGTATCATTAATATGAACTTATTTGTCAGTGATATTGAGCATGGCACACACTGTCACATAAAGTACTGTACATATTGTTAACTGTAAATAGAACTTCAGGTGTTGGATTAAGTGCAATTTGGAGATCCTGCGGGAATTTTACTAATTCCACAGAGTCTGATTGGTCTATAGTACAAAATGATTATGAATGATTAAATGAATTGACCTGTCACTGTATAGAACATGGTTCTCTTTAAAGATACGTTATGTTGAACAGGAAATAAGGAAACTATTATAATAAACAAGACAATTAGGCTGATGGATGACTCTCAGCTGAACATATGCACAGAATAATTAAGTCACAGACATGTGAATTTGAGATGTATTTTCAGCAAATAAAGGGCTATGAGTAGATGTGAGAATTCTGTAAATGAAGAGAAAATTTTGATGTTACCTAATTTTATATATATAAATATATGTCTAAATAAAATGAAATAAAAAATGCAGGTATTATATCTTGGTCTTCATATTTTAATTTTAGAATTTGAATGGTCTGTGTATTACAAAGACATTTCAAATTAAAACTGTGAAGCATTTGTGTCTCACTGACATACCTTTACAGTTTCACTGTAATTGCCTTTGTGCTGGTAAAAACTTTACCTGCATCAACCCATTTTGAATGTCATAGTTTCTTTTTATTTTTGGTTTGGACAGGTTACAGCAGCTTTGTTTCTCTATTTGACAGATCTCGGGCACATCAGTCAAAATTCATATCTGACATGATATATTAATGAAGTTATTTCGATATTAGAGATTAAAGATGTGTATCATCTCTTTCCTCTAGTTAGTTAATTTGGAATAGCGGTCTCCAGTCCTCTTTTATGTGAGCACTCTTCCTATATACATTTGTGTATCGTGTTCTGTGTTTTGTTTTGCTCCTGTTACTGCATGCAACATTGTGGTTTTTGTCTTCTATATACCAGATGATGGGTAGAGTCCAAAATAAGCATAACAGTTCTGTACAGCATACACCATCATCAGAATCCTTTTCAAGTCTACCAGAATAAATGTCCCTAAATTATCAAAGAACTCTGCATGTGAACATGTATTGTCCTACAGGCCCTCCACTTTGAGTTACAGTCATAAAGTTGGCTGAGTGCAACCAGCAGCTGTCAAAGTCTGCCATTTGGTTTATAATTTTTCATTGCCAGTAACAGTTTGGTCAGAAGTGCACATTGCAGTGAAATTTGAGGTTATACCATTCTGCTTTCCTTCTTTCTCCCTCCCATTGGTTTGTCCACAGCCACAATACTGGTACTCCTGTTTCCTATATCTGGAACATTTTTTCCTAATGCACGTCAGTCTTCTACCCTGAAGGTGGAGGCAGGAGGTTCTTCTGAAACACTGGTACCTATCTACCAGCTACAAGAGACAGGAATCAAGTCCACATCCCTCCTTACTACTCACAACCATGCACAAACTGAATGCAATGTGTACATATAGTTCTGGACTAGGACGAATTGTAACATTGTGTTAAGTTGGACCTTGACAGCCTTCCTTTCCTTAGCTGCCAAGGTGTGACTTGGTCACAATCATTGCTTCTTTCCAGGTGGATTGCACCCTGAAAAACGACTGATGTGCTCTGGCAAGAGTTAAGAATTCATGCATCTGCCAGTGCATTGTGTGTTTTAACCTTGAGGCTCTACCAGTAAAAAAAAATATAAAAAATAAAGGCACTGCATACGGCTTTATATAAATTAGTGATCTCATGCATAAGAACCACACCACTGAGGTGTGCAGAATAGTTGTACATAGGTAAAGTTGCATGGTTCTGGTTCATGTTCCAACTGGAAACAGATGACTGACCAGTGTTATGCTCTTGATGCCTGTTCTCTGAAGATCTCAGAGCCATTCTAGATAAGGAGTGAAATGGAAAATTTTTAAATTACTTGTTGGATGTAGATTAAATGTGTTACAGGAAGTCTACATTAAAAGATTCCAAAATAATTTAACTTTGGTTCAAAGTGGTCCATTAGAATATATGTTAAAGTTAAAACTCATTTGTTTCATTACTTATGTAGATAATCAGAAACAATTTAAAATTAAATCAAACTAAATAGGGACAATATATCTTATATATGCCATTTAAATTTTACAGAGCATGAATTTGCATGTTCTAATTAAAATACATTCAACCATATGTAAAACACTCATTAGTGGTAAATTTTGTAACTGTAAATTTCAGAACTGCCTCTTAAGTACTAGTGTATGTATGGAAACAAGTCACAGTTCATGTGATGCTATGATATATGATAGTGGTTATTACTTTTATTTAAGAGGATGTTTAAATTCCATCCATGATGAGCTGTAATAATAGGTTCTTTTGAAGTTCTGCAATTTCACATAAAATGCTGAAACCATCCTACACAAGCCACAATTAAATCACTGCCCATATTTTAACACACACACTCATATATTCATCCTTAACACTTTGCGGACTGGCAATTTCAATATTTAAATCACCCTGCGGACCGGTATTTTTATACCTACTACCCTAACTTGTGCACTCTTCACTTTAAAAATTAATATAAAATCTAATTAATTTTATGAATTAAAATTTTTTGAGAACACTTACCAGTGCTTCTAGAAGTGCTTGAGGGTATGATATTTCTCAAAATATTTCCCTCTGTGAAGTGGCATTACACAAAACTTGCAAATATAGGCAGTCCTACTCCTTTTCTTGTGAATTGCGCAAACACAGCATTGCCTAGAAGGCTGCTTCCCTTTGAAATGTTCACTCTTCACAATTTTCGTGAGGGTATGTTTCCGCATATCACCCGAGTCACCCAGGGGGGGTCAAAATGAGGCCTGCGTTGGGTGGGAGTAGACAGCCCCGGTTGTACTAAGACTGTGTCTGTCTGAAATTTCTGAACGAAAAAGTTCAATAAGGGCTGAATTTTGAAAAGCCTGCTTGTTGATTGTGGTTGCAGTTCATTATCACTGAAATGCAAACACCACCAAACTTGCTCAAATCTCTTACGGCTCATTAGTTTGCCAAAAATTGGAATTTCTAAAAATGGATCTGTTGACCAGTACCCTTTCAGATATCCCTCCTTGTACGGCCCATTAGAAGATAATTGCAAAAAATTTTCTCATTTCTGTTGAAGTGACATCCACCCACTTCAATGCCTTATAACTTCTGTCATAATGTTCACGGTGTTGGAGATAGTATCTGTTAGTTTCCTGACATAGCATGTCAAGGAAACTATCTCCAAAAAACAGTTCTGCTACTTCAGACACTTGCGTTGGGTCCGATGGAATTTGCTTCACCCCTGGATTTCCAGTAAACTGTCCCAAAGCAGGCATTTTGTCTACTTTTCCCCATGTGGCTGTCCCCGCAATGTTGCTACCTGCACATTTGTTGGAGCTACGGTCACTTTCACTTTCACTGTCTGTGGTCACAATTTTTTGTTCGCCTCTGCCACACTCACTATCAGATTGTGAGTCGCTATCACTAGCAGACTCACAAGAGATGTCAGATAGCTCATCAGAGAAGAAGTCAGATATTTCTTGTTCTCCAAGAAATCGCTTGGGTGTCAACCGCTTTGGTCTTTGATCCATATTGAACTACTGACTGACAGCTTGCTATGTAAAGCTTGAAGAAATAAAGGCATTTATTTTCACATAGTTAGTAGAGAGTCCGTCGAGTGTAACAATTTGTAGGTCACTTTTTTAATATCACTTCTGCCTTACATGTTTCGGTTTGATACAACCATCATCAGAGGCACTTGCTATAACGTTGTTTATGATGTTCACAGTTATGTTTGTCGTGTAGACGCTGCTACAATATGCTGACGTGTAAAAGCACAAAACTTACTAAGATAGTTGAGTACACTATCAAGTTCTCACTTTTCATCCGAAACTGTTTTAAGTTAAAACGCTAAATGTTAAAATATTTAATCTGAAATGCTGAATTCCTCCTTGTTAGTTCATCCCGAAGAAGGGAGACGTCAGCTTGAAGTTGTATGGCTTATGGTTCGATGTTTCTTATGTGTGTGTTGCCTCAACTGTCCCAATCCAGTTCATTTTTTGAGATCTGAGGTTCTCATGCCAGTGACAAATATTAAGAGTATCATCTTCTGGAACTACCATGTAGTTTGGCAGATACCAGTACTGAGGAAGGAAACTGCTGCCTCCTAGAATGAATATGGTATAATCCACCAAAATATATCTGGCATCATGTCTCAGAAGGCTGTGATCTACAGTGCATACTATCTTTTCCCAAAGAATCCTTCCAAATGGTTTGTTTTCATAATGTTTGTAAATGTAAAATTCTGTATGCACTGTATTTTCTCATGACTTTCAAATCTAACTTATCACAGCGTACTGTGTTCAGTCACCCCAAGAACCTCAAGTCATGAAATCACAGGACCTCTTGCAACTGCATCTGCTAAGATAATTCCTTCACTGCCCCAGAAATGTTAAAAAGAACCTTCATGACTGATCTTATTGTGCCAACTTATTTGGTGGTGGGGAGTCCACTTGTTCCCACAGTTTGCATTGTCTTTTTGACTCATGATTGTTTACAGGAATCCCGGTTATTTTCTGTGATAACTGTTTGATTCAATAAACTTTTGCTACCCAGCATACAAGAGAGTAGCATGTCTCCATTTTGGTGTTGTTCAGCAGCCACAGAACCTAACTTGCATACGTACATGCAATCCATTCCGGATCATGGCTGGCATAAAGGAACTGCAGATTTAATTTTCTTATGAAAAAACTTTAGGAACTTGAAATACATCAGGTATTATAGTACCTGTTACTATTTTACTGTAAGTGTTCATAAAATGTCAGTTAATTTTTGATCAATTGTTTGAGGGAAGTAAGCAATTAACACAATGCAGTATGTTAAGCACGGTCCAATACAGTGTACTTCAGAATGCTTGCTATTTCATTTTGGGTCCTCTGTAGAACAACTAGTACTTGATATTTAATTTACAATTACTGCTGAAGATTTTTTAAACTGAGGTTAAAAAAATGATTTCTATATTATATTTACTTGTGTAATGACCCCTCTCTATTATGGGAAAGCAATATAGATTTTAATTTTTGCTACATAATATTCTAAACCCATGGCTTTCATGGCTGTGAAAGTTCATGAAATCTTATCAGCCATGTTAATTAGTTAAAAATGACCAACATTTTAGGAACCATATCTGAGACAGCATGTAACCCATGATCAAAACCAAGCATGAGCCAGTAAGCAGAGTTTTCTTGGCCTGGTCATCTCCATATTGGCACCTCTTGGTGCTTGATTGTATTAGTCACCAGCTGCCAGGACTTAGATCAACACCCCTTTCCCTGTTAAAGCTTGACTTCAGTACACCATTTATCAGGTGATCCATACATCCTGTTACTTTAACTAGTATGGAGGTGTTGCTAGTCATCATTAAGTNCTTCTACCCTGAAGATTGAGGCGATACGTTCCTCTGAAACGTCGGTTAACACCACATATACATGGTGCCAAATCCCAGAAGCCTGCTTTCTTCATAGTCACCGCCGTGAAAGCCTCAAATCTTACATCATTAAGTCTTGTTTCAAATCTGTGTTCTGCAGTAGTGAATTTCTATGGCTGGCCCAGGTGTGTTTCATATGTTCCTTACAGGTGATCTTGATGGCTCTGCTCATCTATCCAACATACATATTACTCATAAGATCTAAAAGTTTGTGACGATGGTATATTGCTACAAGTATTATGTTTTTGGACATTATCCATCATCTTGTCTATTTTTTAAAAACTGTCCTGTTTCTTTTTCAAAACACAACATTTTGGAGACTGGATTCTGTCCCCATCCTCAGGTAAAACCTACTCAGTTGGGTCCAATAGATAGAGCTAGCCCCTATCTCTGGACCTAGGGCAGAATCCAGTCTCTGAAACGTTTTTTGAATAAGAAACAGGACTGTTTTAAAAAAATAGACAAGACAATGAATAATATCCAAAAACATAATACTTGTATACATCTTACTGTTCTTGCACGGGAGACAATATATACCTCAAACTCTTGGGCCTTGTTTGTCTCTTGTAGGTCTAAGCATATGGATAGGAATGTTAATTGCCTTGATGCTGTATTTGGTGAGAAGCCTGCTGATTTTATGTGAAACAGCTTGATATGGTGTCACTGCTGTGCCTGCTGGATTATCCTTTTGTGTCTGAGACCTTTGTTTTGGAACATGGACATGTATGACATGGCTGCTATATCAGTTATGCCTGAAAGGCCTTCTGCACTTCAAGCACCGATGTCATACAAGACATATAATATACATACTATAAGCTACAAAATAGTTGCCATAACCAACAATACACAGTAAAGAGGAAACTCTTCAAGAACTGTACCACATCCTGTGTAAGCAATGTGCAAAACTATTAGAACTGATCAGTCACTGACATCTCCAAAGACATACATAACACTGATGCGCACAAGATCATCCAACTAAATAGAAAAAAAAAAGTAAAGTCCCTATGCTTAACTAATTAAGCACTATGCCATGAAGGCGTATGGGGAAGTTGATGTATAGATCCACTTTTCTTGACCTCGGCACTAGTTGGAGGTGAGTGGTCAGCTTCACACACTGACAGCTTTACCTCCCGGTACCAATTGGATAGGAGGTTGGGTGGACCCCAGATCCAGTCTGGATGATGTGGAGAAAATTCTTGACCCTACCAGGACTGAAACTCTGACCCCTTGGCCATCCAGTCCGTAGCCAGTTGCTGTGCCAATTGTGCTATCCCAGCTCCTGAAGATCATCCCACTACATTCTACTTTATCAATTTTATTCACTTGATTATTTTTTATGTTTTAATTTTCTAACATTTTAACATAAAAGAGAGGTGATACATACCCAAATTGAATGAAAATATGCACTTTTACTATATACTAAAAATGGGTCAATGTCAGTCAATTCAGTAACAAAGGTATACATTCATGTAATCCACCTGAAAACGATCACATTGATGGAAACATGTAGTCATATGTATAATAAAAACAAATATCACATTAATATTAGTTTTATTTACTCACAGACTGTTGTGTTGATCGAAATGTTAATACCCTACTTCAGATAGTTATTTCCATGTCCAGGCTATTATCATTGCATGTGGTCTCTGCACATTGAATGAGACCTGTTACTACAGTCTGCTTGTGACAGACGGTGTTTAGACCTTGCATGTATGTAGAGGGCCACATGTGCAATGCCTGTACACAGTATGTCCCAGGAAGGTATTCTGCAAATCACTGGCTCACCAATAGTCTTCTGGAATCAGGTAAATTTACTTTTTGAATGGATTTGTGTGCCTTCAGAGCCTTATATCCAGGGGATGGATAGGACAGAATTGCCGGATGTCATTCTCAGCACTGACAGGATTTTTGAGGGGTGTTTTAGAATGAAACAGGAATGTGATATCCATGACTAAATAACTGGAATAATAACTGCAGTGGGGAGGGAAAAAAAGAACATTACAGTGACTTGCTGTATCTTCATTATGGTCAATGTTGTGTTTGACCTTGATAATGGAGGCATTTCTGAAATGCTGATGTTTGACTTAACCATTATGTGTACAGGGTCGTGCCATAGCTCAAGCAGTTAGTCGCTGGCTTCAAGTGGGATTTGTGGTGGACAAAGTGGCACGGGGGCGGGTTTTCTCAGAGTACTTCGGTTTCCCCTACCAATCTTCATTCCACCAATTGCTCCACAATCATCCTCACCTATCGTCTGGGGCTGCTACAATAGGTCAGAAGTGGCTGCAGTACGAGGGACTTAGTCCCACCCCAGTAGCATAACCATTATGTGGCTGATTGCCCAATAAAATTTTAGTGAATCACTGATTTTGTTATATAGCACTGAGAGCCTGTTAGAAAAATAATGTTCATAATGTCCCACACCAACTTTGTTAAAAATTAGTGGCAAGATTGGGAGGCACTGACAGCAAATATGGTACTACCATGTAAGCTCACAGTATATTATCTAATTTCTTTTTCTCTTCTGGAGAGACTGGCTAATGTACAGTACTGTTATCACAAAAGACATGCAAACAGTAGTTCATCTGACTTCTTATCAGATACAAACCTATCAAAATGCATATAAACTTTCACGGCCTTTAAATACAGATTTGTTATTTTTCAAGAGTTGAAGCAAAAAAGCATGTTATCATGACATGAAATGCTTATGCATATTTGCCTTGATATTTTCTTGCAGCCATCTTTAGCACATCAGGCCTCTAACAAAGTAACAAATAAAGATGAGCAAATTTGCAGTTTTGAATCACATTGTGAAATTCTGAGTATAGTCATATTCTATTGTTGGAATTACTGCTTGTACAAATTTCAGAAATATGATCAAGTACATGTGAACGCCCAGTTCTCCACCTCCCTCAGTAACGGTCTGGATGATCTTCTTCATTACTTCTGCATGCCTGGCAACAAAATAGAACAATAAACCAAATGATGTACATGAGATATGAAGTTCTCATGGCTACAGACATTAAGACTGCAGCCTTTTAGGATGTGACGCTGCACAGTTACCAACGTTCCAGAGGAACACACTGCCTCCATCTTCAGGTTAGGAGGAGATGGAGGCAGTGTGTTCCTTCAAAATATTGTAACCATCCCTTAGCCTTATACAGAATCGCATCCCAGGAACTCTATATACAGCCAGATATTATCAAAACATGACTACTTCATACATGTATAATTTCAGTGGAGGAGACCTGGAACTGCAGAATCCCCCTACCACATTCCTTTGGTGACTCCACTACCCACAAATGAACTACAGATCATTTTTTAAACTAAATATGAACTATAGCAAACAACAAGTTCTGGGAAGAACTAATCACCTACTTTTCTCGATACAACACAAACCACACAGAAAATGACATGTCCAACAATTTTTCTGTTGTTGTGCTTGTAATATTTTTACTGAGCTACTGCCTAGCAATAAGAGGGGAAAACACATATAGACACACAGACTGATGAGAGGAATTTATGAAGTATGTTGTTGAGATGGGCTCAGGCACAATGATATATGTATATACCAAGTTTCATAAAGACAGGTTCAGGCATTCGGAAGTCGATATGGAAGGGATATACAGACAGCATGCAGAATGAATAAGCCTAGTGTTTTTTTTTTTCAAAATAAGAAAATAGGCTAAAAAAGTTAAATGGGCCTGCACATATGATGCACTGTAAACATTGTTTTACTGTCTTGAGATCACTTTTATGGGCTTACGATCACATTTAAATGTCTGAAAGGATAATGCTGCTCATAAAGTTCAAGCCAGATTCATGAAGCAACACACAGTAGACAAAGTGAAAAGAGCCAGGCTTAACCTACTTGCAAGGGTGAACAGAAGCCATTGGTGGTCCAGGAAGGTGGGGATGATTCTCCATTGTTACTGTCTTCTTTGCATGGTCTTGACTCACATCTTCATACATTTGTTCTACAGTTAGAGGTTTGCGATTCTGAAAACATTTTTACAAAATTCACACATGCTATTATGTTTATTACAATTAATTTCCAGCTGAATTCATAATTCTGCACAGTGCTTTTAAATTTATATCTGTTTGGCTGTATGCATGGACCAACTCAAGAACCACTGAATGACTTTTTATGAACTTGTGATATTTGTGAGCTCTACCAATATTTACCAGATTCGTCCACACATTCCAATTTTCATATATATATATTGTGGCGTGTTTCGTGTTCGATTCTTGTCAGTCACGTGTGTAGTTCGATCCCACATCTGACACCAATGTAGCGTGTTTTGTGCGTCGCGCCACAAATAAATTCCCGTGGGGCTCAGATTCTGTAGAACCTTTATTGTTCTTCACTTATACACTCACACGCTTTACAATTGTCATCACTTGCAGTATTGCAATGACTGCTTACAATAACTCGGCCGACACTGGACTCTCTTCTCTGGCGGTTATTCTAGGACTGACTTCTAAGATGGCTCGATCACGACTGACTGCTTTTCGTCAAAGCTGGGCTATTTATAACCTCGGCCGCTGCTAGGCAAATGAATCCTCTGTTATAGCAGTGGAAACGTTGCTTTGTCGGTTCCGCGTCTCCTACGCAATGACCCATTGTTATTGCGTTGTCTCTGCGGGAATGCTTCGCGTACTTGTCATAACCGTGGAGATTCGGTGTTGGAACTACAATAGAGTGATTGTTGTTTATTGTGCAATGGTCTATTCTAGCGTTTCCATAGAAGCGACTCTTCTGGATTCCAGACACGTTACAATATATATATATATATTAAAGCATAATTTATTGATTTATTGGGAAGCTGAAGCAAGGAACGACCTCAGAAAAGATGGAAAACTACCTAACAAAGAAAGGAATCCAAGGGAACATCACCTGCGAAGAGACCATAACGAGAGGAGAAACCAAAGCTTATAAAGTTGGAATCCCCTTCAAATACCTGGAAATGACATCCAACCCTGAATTCTGGCCAAGAGGAGTAATTGTATGGCGATTTCGCTTCCCCAGAAGGAATGAAGGCATATCTCTCGAATAACTCCATAAACATGCTCCTATGGAATGTGGAAGGACTAAAAGGACTACTGAAATTAAACCCAGGAAACTCCCTGGAAACACCAGACATATTAGTCCTCACAGAAACATTCCTAACGAAACCTACCGACATAGAAGGATTCTACTCTATCCACTCACTAGCAAGGAAACCAGCAGAAGGAAGGCCATCAGGAGGGGTATCTATCTTCTACAAACCACGGATAGGACCCATGAAGACCCTATGTACAGAAGAAAACCTAATAATTGCAAAAGCGACCAATTTCACGATAATAGGCATTTACATACGCCCTAACACCGAAATAGAGGACATAATGGAACTCCTAACCTTCTCCTTCCGAAAAGTTACGAACCCGAAAGAAAGCATAATACTAGCAGGAGACATGAATTGCAGAACAGACAAACCCGATATGAAATGTAAAGCTATCCTCGCATTCCTTAAGGAGGAAAACTTCAAAATAACAAATGACCCAAAACGTAAAACTTACTTTGCCCATAATGGCAGTAGCACCATTGACCTGGTATTCCACAAAGGAGACAACATAGAAACTCTAGAACAAAAGGGCTTATGGACTTCACAAATAACCCCATTAAGAAAACACATCCCCATCCAGACCAAATTTTCACTCAAAACCCCACAGAAAACTATATCAAAACATGTCAAAAACACCATGTCCAGAGACATAAACATAGCAGCATTAGAGAGAGAACTAGGGAAAGCAACCGAAGCAGAGCAGGCAATCAAGGAGAACGACCTAAACACAGCCCTAACAACAATCAAGAAAATGTTAGAAACAAGCATAACCCACAAACAAAACACAAGGAAAGTACAACCATGGTTCGATAAGGAGCGCTATGCAGAGACACACCGCATTAAATGCATTGCATATAGCCAAGATGACGCTGGAACCAGAAGACCTACGAGTATATGGGGAAAAACGGAGATATTACAAGAACCTTCTAAAACAAAAACAGACTCAATATATAGAAAAAGAAGGTGAAAGAATCGCCGAAGAAGCACTGAATGATCCATATGTAGCCATCAGACCCAGAAGAACATCAAGATCTAGCAACGTAGAAATAGGAACTTGGGAAACACACTTCACCAATATTCATAACAGTACAGGGCAACAAGTGGCATATGAAATTGAATGAAACAATCAACTTGAAGCCATATCCCCCATCACTAAAATAGAAGTGATGGACGCCATAAAAATTACAAAATGTAAAAAGGCCGCTGGACCAGACGGGTTTTACAATGAACACCTAAAAGAATCGGCACAATGCCTGGCAGAACTATGGTCCAAGCTATTTAACAAATGCCTAGAATCAGGAAACATCCCCGAAGAATGGAGGAAATCAACAATTAAAACCCTCTACAAAGGGAAAGGTGAAACCAATGACCCTAACTCGTACAGAGGAATTGCATTAGAAAGCAATATCTTTAAGTTGCTAACAAGATTCTAACCAACAGGATAATAGAAAAAGTCAACCCCAAGATACCAGGGGAACAATTTGGCTTTAGAAGAGGAAGAGGAACCTTGCATGCAATACAAAACTTACTAAACAACATTGAAGAAACACAGAGATTCCGAAAGGGAAAATTCTATGCAGTCTTCATAGACTATACAAAAGCCTTCGACCTAATGGACAGGAATAAACTGATATCGAAACTCCAAAATATGATCGGAAATCTAAACCCACTGTCATAGTAAAAAATATCCTGGCATACAACCAAATTACCATAGATGATGCGATCTGCAAAACAAAAGAAATCACCCAAACCAACGGAGTACTACAAGGGGACCCCCTCAGCCCCATATTATTCAATATTGCCACAGTGGATGTAATAGCAGCAATACGAGAAAAGGCGAAAGATGCAGTGATATACATGTATGCGGACGACATGGTCCTAGGATCACCAAACAAGGAAGAACTCCAACACCCTTCTCAGCACTGGTAGAATGGGCAGGAAATAACAGTCTAAAAATAAACTGGGCAAAAACCCAACAGATGGTCTTCCGGAAGGGTGGACGCACAGCAGCAGACGACAACCTACAATATGAAGAGGACAAAGTTGAAATAGTAAATTCGTTTAAATACCTGGGAATCACTTTACAGACTACCGGGACGTTCAGATTACACATCAAAGACAAAGCACTGGCAGCCATGAAAGCCATGTACGACATTAACAATTTACAGCATCTATCCTTAAAGACAGCTATGAGTCTATTCGACACAAAAATCCTACCAATACTCACCTACGGGATTCACCTGATATGGGAAAAACTGTCGAAAAAAGATCTGGCCAACATCGAGGGAGTGAAAGCAAAATTCCTGAAAACCATAATGGGCATTTCAAAATACACGCGCTCCCGCCTAACATATGAATTGACACAGGAGCCCTTCCTCATCGAAGAGCTGAGGATAAAGCTGCAGCTGCCATCCACAAAGAATGTAGAAGCACACCTAGCGGAGAGAAGGAGGAAAAGAGAAGAAATACCTCTAGATTTCTACAGCACGGATGCCATGTTGAACCGGAACTGGACCAACGCCAACCAGAGACTAAGACATGTGGTGATAAAACTAGCAGTGCACGGGTTCCACCATAAAATATGTAAAAACATGTCCTATCATGACCCAAGCGAAAACTGCGTGTGCTCGTTATGTGATCAGTTCTGCGATGTATACCACATCACAAGATGTAAAAACAACCATAAATCTCTGTGTGATTATAGCAAAGGCTAAAACCCAGAATCTATGTAATGCACATTCGTGCGCTTTTCTGTTAATAATAATATATATATATATATATATATACACACACACACAAGGAAGATTTTTAGTTTGTTGACCGGTTCCATGGCTCTGCACTTCCCAGCTGCTGGTGCCCCACTTCCTATGAGGCACATATGAATTCTGCTGCTGAATCAGCATGCATGACAGCCAATAACCTTCACAATGAAGGGAAGTTCTTACTGATGTTCAAAGATGGCAGGAGGTTTTGAAAATGCTGTCCCTCTACACACAGACATTACTCACGCTGGTGGAAGAGGTTCTGATTTACCCTTTGAAGCTGCTCTGTAGGAATATTTACAATTTCCCTAAGAATATTTTCTTTTAGTTCCTCCGTTTGGAGGTTACTGTTGTAAACTTTATCCTTCAAAGAACCCAAGAAGAAAAAAGCTACAAGGATTAAGATTGGGTGAACATGCTGGCCAAATACCACTGCTGATACGTAGGTCGTACCGAAAGTCATGAGCAACTTTCTTTTTGCATGCAACCTGGGAACAGCAGACGATAGAGAGCATGGTGGTAGGTGGAACCAGCTGTTGTGTTAACCTTGAGTGTCTTGTGACATCAATAGCTTGCATCACGTGACCAGTATCACTCCTAACAAAATGGCCGACAACCGTATGTCGTTTCACCACAATGCTGTCAACGAATTTCTTGTGAAAGAGGAAATCCCTGCTGCAGAAATTCACCAGACTTCAGTGTGCTTATGGAAGCGTGTGCATGGGTGCAAGCAGTGTTCTAAGATGGGTGAAACATTTTAAAGATGTGAACACCAGCATCGAAGATGGGCCTCGGAGCAGTTGTCCTCGAACAGCCTCAACTGAACGCAACAAGGAAAGAGTGGATGAGATCATTGAAGATAACAGGCGTGTGGCTGTGGACACAATAGCCCTCGAACAGCCAATAAGGCACAGTACAGTACAGTACAGTACAGTACAGGAGATGATTGAAATCTTGGGCTATAGGAAAGTTTGTGCTCGTTGCTTCCCGCGGTTATTGACCGAAGTCCACAAAGGTCAGCGAAAAGCCATCACCTCAGAACTGCTGCAGAGATATCGACACGAAGGTGATGATTTTTTGCTCTGTATTGTGACAGGTGACGAAAGCTGGTTTCACCATTTCGAGCCTGAAATTAAACAGCAGAGTATGGAATGGCACCATTTGCATTCTCCATCAAAAAAGAAGGCAAAGACAGTGCCATCAGCTGCGAAGATGATGGGCACAGTCTACTGGGCTGTAGAGGGGTTTATTCTGGCCAAATTCCTGGAACCTGGGCAAACCATCAATGCTGCTCGTTATGTCCAGACGCTGCACAAGCTCCGTCATGCATTGCACAATAAACGTCTGGGATGAAACAGCATCCTCCTCCATGACAACACTCACCCCCACGCTGCTCGCCTCACATTTGAAGCAATTGGAAACATGGGGTGGGAAGTTCTTCTATGCCCCTCCTATAGCCCTGATCTGGCACCCTCTGACTACCATCTTCTTGGATTTGTGAAGGATCAGCTGGGTGGACAACATTTTGAGACAAGAGAGGCAATTCAGAAAGCAGTGCGTCAGTGTCTTCAGATGGCTGGAACGGAATTTTACAGAAGGGAAATTTTCAAACTCCCAGAACACTGGGAGAAATGTGTACAAAGAAGTGGCTATAATGTGGAAAGATAAAGAAAGGTCTGTAGATTGAGGTGGTGTATTGGTTTGTCAATAATAAAACATGTTACTAAATTGTTGCTCATGACTTTCAGTACGACCCCCGTAATTCTGTCCCAGAAGACAATGGACAAAGTCTGCATAGACATACACGTATGTGCAGTAGCTAAGTCCTGCTGAAAGGAGCCATAGAGTCTTTCTTCTTCTGTTAACTGTGGAAAGAACTGCCAAGAATGATATGTACATATCTTTTGCAATTAACTGTTTCATTAAAAAACACAGGTACAACCTTCTTGCACTTACAGCATACCAGACACCAAGTTCTACTGGATGGAACAGGACTTCGTGGGTTAGATGTGGATTCTGTGAATTCCAGTAATTATTTTGCGTTTTTATGTATCCCTGCAAGTGAAACCATGCTTGATCAGAAAAGAATGTCAATTGTGGATCGATCTCACCTATGATGACAGACTGTGGAAACCAACAGCTGGCTCAATTGTGCAGCTGCAAGGCATGCGTGAATTACTGTTGCTTTATACGGTTTAAAATTCAGCAATTGTGTTGCTCAGAATTACTGGGTTTTTGGACTTTTTCCGTCATCCAGAATTCTAGGTAACAGAGGACATGACGTTTCAGAAACTGGATCTGTTTCCATCTTCAGGTGAGAAAGGAAGACACCTATGTGATCTAACTTCTCAGTAAGCACTTGGTTATGTTTTTGTTTCTTGTCTTTAAGTGTCCCTTTATTCTAAGTTTATTCACCAAACTGAGAATTGTTTGTCTGCTGAGAATGCTTTCAACGTGATATTTATGATGACAGTTTCCAGAAGATCCATATTATGCACAGGTGTCATACAGAAATACACGTTGCTCTAAAGTATACTGCATCATGACATACCATACTGCTCACGAACTGTAAAAAAACAAATGGCTAATGGAGCTGATAACTGCTTCCTATCATTGACAATCACAAGGAAACTCCCATGCATGAACTACACTGCTCACTGTGAAACATAATGCCATCAAGTGGTCCATAAGTTAATTACCACCCTTCATTCCAAACATTATCAGACATGAGGCATGCTGATTCATCAACAAAATTTGTATGCGCCTCACAGCAAGCAGCGCATCAGTTGCTGTTAACCTGTCAACAAAGCTAAAAAGTTCTCTGTGTATGTATATAAAGGCAAATAAACCAAACACTTTACAAGAATACCTATATGTCTTTCTGTACGTATCTTGAGCATAAACCATTAAATATTTATTGGAGCAAAAGATGTTTGCTGCAAGACTTGTAGACAGAAATTGAACAATCATTTTTTTTCCATATGTGTGCATTTCCTAGCATGTATATTCAACAATTAACAATGGTCTTCTGAACTCATGAAGACTGTCAAAATCATTCATTCTTGATAATAATAGAATGAAGCTTTTACTCTCCAAATTTATAAGTCTACAAGTATATAAATATACAGTCTTACATAAGAACATATATACAAGAGTCGGTCAAAAATTTCCCGGAATGGTGGTATAGCACTCTAATGGTAGGACATATAGCAATGCTTACCTGATTACCTTCAAAGTAGGACCCTTGAGCGCACACACACTTGCTCCATAAATCCTGCCATTGTTGGAAGCAGCTGTGGAAGGCTTCTTTTGGAATCTTCCGGAGCTCAGCCGTCGCATTTGATTTGATGTCCTCCATGGTTGCGAAATGTGTCCCCTTGAGGCCCATTTTCAGAGTAGGGAACAGCCGAAAGCCACTTGGAGCGAGATCCGGAGAGTATGGTGGTTGAGTGATGACAAGAATGTTTTTCTCGGCAAGGAATTGCTGCACAACAAGCAATGTGTGGCTCGGCACGTTATCGTGATGCAGAAACCACTGTCCCTGCCACTTGTCGTGCTGCTTCCTCCGAACCGCATCATGCAACCTCTGCAAAACTTGCATGTAGAAATGGCCGGTAACAGTCTGTCCAGGTGGTACAAACTCATGGTGCACCAAACAGTCGATGTCAAAGAATGCAATGAGCATCGCTTTGTCTTTGGACCTGACGAGGTGTGATTTTCTTGGCCGGGGAGACGATGCTGTGTGCCACTCCGATGACTGCATCTTCGTCTCTGGGTCATAGGCGAATACAAATGACTCATCACCAGTGACAATCTTTTGAGAAACGTCGGGTCCTGCGTACTTTTGTCAAACAGATCACCAGCGACCATCACGCAACATTCCATCTGATCCGTGGCTAGCTGCCTCAGAACAAACTTCGCACTGCGCATCTCATCTTCAAATCATCGGACAAAATGGCATGAATGGATCCGTCAGAGATACCAACTTCTTGCTCCAACTCTGTGATGGTCATTCTTTGATCACATTGAATCAGTTGTCGCACTTTTCCAATCATTTCTTCAGTTCTGGATGTCAAGGGTCTCCCGCTGCGCTGGTCATCCTCTAACGTCTCCTGCCCATTCTTAAACTGGGAAAACCAGTCATAAACTGTGGATTTCTTTAGTGCAGTATCACTGTAAACTTTCTGCAGGGCCGACTGCGTCTCTGAAGCAGATTTTCCCAATTTGCACATGAACTTGATGTTCGCACTGTTCAAACTGCGACATTGCACCAAATGACCAACACTCACATCTAATTCAAACAGAACAGTAACAACACTGCACACTGAAACCTGTTCAGACCTGTTGCACCTGCAAGCAGATATGCTGAGCTCCCCACCACAACAGTGTGTGTGCTATCCTATCACTCATTCTCAGTCTGCAGGGGAATTCCAGGAATTTATTGACTGCCCTACGTATATATATTTCAAATATTTTAGCTTATATAAATAAATAAATTAGCATTGCATCTATAATTTTTCCTGCTGAACAAGTGTCTTAAATTTACATTGTATACTTTTACAATCATGTTTAATATTAGACAGACTTACCTCATCGTATCCAAACAGCCATAGACGAGGTGTTTGATAGTATTTATCATATGTAATATGGAGATCATAGGTTCGCGTGTGTATGATTTCTCCTCCAACTTGATTTGAAGTATCTCCAACATCTTTTTCGGTATTTCTCAAAGTATCCAGAGTTGCCTTTGTGAATTGAAAACAATACAAATATATTTACAACTTAATTAAGCACAACAGTCATCAGGGGTAGAACTCTTCTGTACAATAGGCCAAACGGTAGGAAGAGATGGAGTAACCCCCCCCCCTTCTAAGTCCCTTATAACCATCATTTCTGTTCCAATGCTTCTTTCTACAAATAAGAGCAAATAACTATGCCAAAAAGTAATGTGACTTTTATTTGTGCAATATTCCTAATTTCAACTAGCGGCTCTGTTTTTGAAAGCTAGTGACTCTTTATTAATTCTTCAAGATATTTTGAAGTTTCTTATTCCATTAATTTTGTATTTTCTCCTTCTTTTCAACAGATATCAACCACATGCACAGATTGAATACAGAAATTATATTTATATACTGACCACATCACAGTATATCACACAGATTACCTTATCCTGTTCATCAAGTAGTCCACTCTCTTCAAACTCTTCCATGTCTGCAGCCTCTTCTTCTTCTTCATCATCATCACCTTCACCATCAGCAGCAGCAGCAGCAGCACCACCACCACCACCACCACCCTCATCATCTTCATCATCATCATCATCATCACCATCATTTGCATCTCTTTCACAACTGCCTATATTATTGGAGACTTCAGCCTGGAAACACAAATTTTAAGACTCAACAAATTGACTCAAGTTCAACAAATACAGCATGGTACTGTTGTCAATTTGCTAACCTTTGATTCCAAAGTCATTTCAGAGACTTTATCATCCAATCCTGATACACCAGTGTCAAAATGGTGAGTATCTACCCAGCCTCCATCAGGGTCATCAGCTTCAATAATTTTTTCTTGATCATCACAATATTCCATCTAAAAGAAAGAAATCTTAATATATGGGCACCTTGTAGTAGAAGTCAATATAACAATTCTGGGCATTTAGGCTGAATACCTGCTTACATCTTCGTGGGCATGGAACATTACGTGTAATAAGAAACTGTTTATTTCGTGGCAGATACGATTTTGCTCGACCCTCATCACCTGTAGCCCACTGCCAGGTTGGACAATGATGTACCAAGTGATCTCCAGCAGCCACAAATTCTTCGGGAGTCAGCACTCCAGTTTCCCGGAACTTAGATTCCTATTAATGAATAAATACATAACATTTGTGCGTTTTCACGGTTTTTTCCTCAGTCCCTCTGGGTAAATTCCGATATAGTACCTCAAATGGGCTACAACCGCTACTTTCCAAATCCTCTCAAATTCTCCATTCATCAAACATGCTTTCAGTAGACTCTACAGATTTCTCCAGACACTGTCAGCGTCGTAAGTGAACTCATAAAAGAAACAATCACGAAGTGGTGTCTGATTCACGTTCGAATATATATCAATATTTACCTTAAGAACAGGTGTCAGATATTCTGCCACGCCTAAAGCAGTACCTTTGACTGTGTTTATTACATTCTGCATTTTGCAACAGATTAATTCTTGCAAATAATACGAATTACAAATTTCATCCCACGTTACTCAGATGCTTAACACTGACTTTGTTGTCATAATCTATATAACTATATAATGTACATCGATGTACATCATCTACATGTTTGAAGACAGTTCGACTCAGTTCGAGATTACTCGAAGAAATCGTGGCGGAATCAACCAGTCCGTACCCTGACTCCTGTCTATGGCCGGGCGCACACCAAGGAAACTGGCAACCGAAACGCAACAAGTATTTTCGAGTAATATCGCCGATTTCAAGCAGGCGACTGGTTTCCAAATTAGCAGGCGCATACTGTGTTCGATTAGTTGCTCACATAATCTAAGTGGGTGTGTCTGCCCGCCTGTTTCGCGTACTTTTCTTCTGCAGTGTCTAATAATAATATTGGTCCTGTAATGATATGGTGGTGGTTGAGACGGCGTAAGAGGAGAAGATAGGAGAAAGGGAAACATTGGGCGCACCTGTTCTTTCGCGACAATTTGAACACAGGCTTTTATATTGTTTCGAAAGAACTTAATCAGGATACAGAACTGTTCAAATCACTTTACAGAATAAGCATTGAAAGTTTTCTTTATTAGTGGATCTCGTAGCACCTCAAATTCGAAGACAAGATACAAATTTTCATACAGCTGTGTCAGCAGAACCATAGGCAAAAATTATAGTTTTGTATATTTTAATTTTTCTGTTTTTGAACAGCAGACAAGAAGACAAAAGGTTCTGAATTGAATGGTAGCAAGCATTATTCGAGTTCAATCTCCTCTTAATTTCCTATTGAAGCAGGTTTTCGTTTGTTATCGTCGTTCCCAAATATCTTAACTGTACCACGTTTTCGAAACATCTATTATCTTTATGTCATGATTTTGCTCTCGAATTTGGTGACGAGACAGCAACATATACATACTTTTCTCTGTGTTTACTTCTAGACCAAACTTCTTACTCGCATCAATTAAAGTTTTTGTGTTTCTCTTTATGATAGCTATATTATAACCAAGGATATTCACATCATCGGCATAGACCAACAGCTGATATGTCCCATTCAATTTCAGTCCCACCTGGTTTTCCTTGGCCTTCCTAATGGCATATTCTAAATCAAAGTTGGAAAGGAGTGATGATAAAAGCATCTCCTTTGTTTTAGATCATTCTGAATAGGGAAATTATGAGACAAATGTTATCTATGAAGAAAGCAGTCTTCTGGGATTTGGCACCGTGTATATGTGGTGTTAACCGACGTTTCGGAGGAACGTATCGCCTCCATCTTCAGGGTAGAAGAAAAAATATAAGAAATCTGCAAGCG